AAAGAGTCAGCTGGCAGGGCCTTGGGTGTACTGAAAGTTAATCTTCTGAACAACATAAATGTTATGTTTTAGAGGACAAAGTGCTGCTTTCTGAGATACCCCCTTTTCGTTTAAAATTCTGATGTCAAGTTCACTGAGTTTTGCAGAAAATCTGCAGAAAAATCAGCAAAGGAGAAATAAAAGATACATTGGGTGATCTCAAAGAAAAAGATATATCAAAGACAAAGAACAGCCCAAACAAATTAAGTCAAGATTAAATAATCTCTCAGTTCTCCAATATATCCAAACTTTAGTTCACATGAGTGATTCTGATTTATAGCATGATCACTTCATGTTACTCAAGTAATGTGAGAATTAAGAATATTATTTTTTCTATTAATTTTGATGTCCCTGTAGCAATAGACAAGAAAATGCTAGTTACTACCCTGATAATAACAACACAGCTTTAAATTATTCATTTTACCTTTCCATGATACTTGACTCTGAAATAAAACTGCTGCTCTCTTTGGGTCCAGGTCATAAAACGCCTGATTTTATTAACTGAGGTTATTCAGAACTTGCACAGCTACCTAAAAATCATTCCTTATCCACCATAGTCTGGCCATCAAAAGTCTTACATGGGACATGAAGAATATTCTTAGATCATTAATTGAGTATGATCAATAAGTACTGGATAATTAATCCATTGGCTGCCTAATGCATAAAATACACAACAGGCAAGTTATTTGCTCACTTCCCTGAGGCACCATATTAAATAGATGCTTTTATTATCATTTGGCTATGTTATACTTACAAAACAAAACAAATTGTAAATATCCTCCTGCAGTTATGATAGATATTTATGCTGAATAAACTAGCACTGACTACCATGCCAGTCTTTTCTATCAAGGCAGCATTATCCTTATTAAAAAGTCAGTGTATAATATTCAGCTTAGAAAAAAGACAATAAATATAAGAGCAAGAGAGCAACCAGCTGAACTCAATTTTGTCCAAGAACTTTGAAGGAAAAAAAAGAATATTAATATGGTTCTAAAGAGGCTGAGGACACAGAGAGAGAACAGTTAACATGTTAAAAAAAAAAAAAAAGAAACCCTAGAAATTACATATGAATGGATTAATAAAGGCTTTACTTGTTTTTGCTGAGAGGAAAACCATACTTCCTGAAGCAAGCAGGAAGAAGGAAAGAACAAAAAAGGAGGCAGAGGATCTGAAGCCTCTGAAAGCCAATACCCTTTCCCCAACAATGTATCAGGAAGAAATACAGCCCACTCCCTACAGACAGAAGGGAATAAAGCAGAAACTCCTGCTCCTCTTCACACTTTGTTTAAAGAAAAGGCCACTAAAATGTCATTCTATAAATTCTACACTAGAGAGAAACTGAACATTTCTGTATACACACATACAGCAAATCAAAATGGAAAAACAGAAGGGATAGTCAGAGAAAGGGAAGAGATTAAATACTTGTTAAAATGCAGAAATACAAAGAAATAATGATCAGGTAAGGGGGAAAAAAAAAGGTGCCACTCTTTCTTTGGGAACATCCAACATAAATTGAAGAAATATTTCAATTATTTATATTTTCATCTGTTCTAGTAACTTTTTTCCAGACTACTGGCATTTTCAGGTCACTACAAACAATACTCAAAAACACTTCCAGAAATTAATGTACTATAAATATATTCACCTACATTTTCAATATACAAACAGCACACATAATACTTTATATGTACAATACTAAGAACAAATACTGTACTGCTTCCTCCAAACTGAACAAACTGTTGACAATACTTTGCCTTGAATCATATTACACAGTTCTATTGGTGTCAATAACATCACAGGGAAAGGGGACTTGAGAGTGAGAATTTTGCTAGCCTAGGTACTCCTCACAATGAAGCAATCTGTTCTGTGTGTGGGCCCTGTGGGTTACACTGTGCTTGGTTTTAAGCTACACATACAGGTTTCTCAAGGAGAATTTTTATCCACACTCTTTTCCTTGCAATAGGTATGTGTATCCTTTATGAACTACACTTGCAGCTTCAGCCACTCATGGTTAGATTTGTTTTAGAGATCTAAAATCTATCAAATCTCATTCTTAAGCAGTGGCAGATACCAAAGGCTCCTTCAGGTTTGAAATCCTCCCCTGCCAAACTCCAGAAGCTGCTAGCTTTCAGGAAAATGCCAAGGATAATTTGGTGGCTTCTTACATATTCATCCCAGGCTTTTCTTCAGGAGAAATACAGGGCTAAACTAACAAAATCAGTTATACAGTTTTCAGGAGAAACGTTTGATACTTACAGCATCCACAAGGTTTACCACAGACTTTGCAAAATTGTTTGTGTATGCATTTGAAGAACGGTGCTTTTTGAACTGTAAGGAGGAGAAAAAGTAGAACACAGTGAGAACTTAAATATTTATTACTAATTCTTTATTTCTACAGTGAGAAAGGAAAATTAATATTTTAAGAACGAGTAAGGGGAAAACTCAAAAAGCTTTTCAGATCACAGCCTATATCACATGTTAGAGAATCTGTTTCTCAGTTGAAGTCAGAAGTGTCACATTGTATTACCAGCTAACAAATCTTCCACACCTTTAAATTCCAGCTATTTTTGCACAAGCAATTTAGTCTTATATGGAAGAAGTGTCACAGAAGATACCAAAAAGGTGATCAAGCTTAATGATGACACTCATTGATTTGCCTGCAGGAAGATAAGTTTTTCATGTATGCAGGTATTCACTGTTAAGTCCCACAGTGCTTCAGCACATCCACAGCAGGTTTTAATACACAAAGATCCTACAAGAGAGGTTTGTAGAGACCCCTTCCTCTATATCTATTCTCAAAACAAGGCACTTTCAACTACAGTGCCTAGGATGTACACTGAGAATAGTATCCATACCACAGGACTGTTTGCTCCCTAGGAAACCATGACACTAGAACAAAATATTGAGCAAGAGTGGCTTTGGTTTTTGGCTGTTTTGAGCCAATCCCAAACTTTCCCAGAAGTGGAAAGGTAAATATGCTTTGGAAAATGTCCTTGGTTTTCATGGAAGATGTCCAAATCAATAGCAATATACCATACCATGTGTTTAAACACAGCTCCTAAAACAAAAATCAAGCTAAGCCAGTAAAAAGTGCAGCAGCCTAATGAAATACATTTAGCTGTGTGTTTAATAGAAATGAAAATTTTGTGCACACTTAACACAATGGCCAAAGAAGTTTAGGACACTTCTGCCAGCTCAGAACCTTGCTGCAGGAGAGACCTGCCCTCTACTGGTAAACAGAAAACCTTAACAGGACATTCAGGGAGCTCCTGGATTGGCAAGCTCTAACTTGGAATTGTGAACACTTCCTTAGGTATATTCATTTGATTTCTTGAAAAGAATTATTATATGTGTTTGGGTCACTGACAACTCAAGCAAAAAAATCCTGAATGCTTGTGGTCTGAGGTTTCTAACAACAAAAGCCTGAGAGGAGACAACAGAGTCTGTAACAAGACTGATATTATGATTTATTAAACAGATGAGGGAAAGTTGTATTATGTTTACTCAGCAAGTACAAAATACTGCATCCTGTTCTGATACCTGCTATTTCTAGCCCAGCTAAACATCATCCTTCAGCACTGACAAAAGACATCAACATGCAGCAGAGTGAGAGATGCAAGGAGCTCTTACAGAAATGCTTTTTATAAACAGAATTTGAGTTTGAAAAAAGGTCTTGCTCACACACAAGCAAAGTCATACTTATAGCTGATGATCCTTATCTGCCTCTAAGGCAATGAACAGTTGAGAAATCTAAGGGAAACAAGGCCATAGAACAGGGCACAGATAAGTTGTTTTTAGAGAAAACTGAGAGTAACTTTTAGAGTAACTTTAGAGTCAGTTGTAGTATATTCTTTGTTACTAGAAAACTTTTAAGCCTATACTATTTTTCCTTAACAGATATCCTCTAGTTAAAATGTAGCTAGTGGACTAAAATTTGTGGTGCTTTTCAAAAAAAGGTTCTATAAACTCTTAGACAAAATTTATTACTTCCCAGGCTCCTTTCTCCTGACTTTTTAAATAGGTAACACAGACACTTTCCTATCTTTACTTGGCATAATAAGTGAAAGCAGTAACATTTAAATAACAAATGTCACTTGGTCTGAGTTTTTTCCAGTCATCCCTCAAGAAAAAAAAGGAAAAAAAGTGGGCTTCCTCCTCCCCCTCCCCTTTTTTTTTTTTTACCATCAAGTAACACTTTCTGATTTGAACAAACAACTTATCTTGCACTCCATTATGAAGCCTGTTTGTAAGTGTGGAGTAGCCAGGAAGCACAACCAGGCAGTTTTTCCTATATGCTTTGCTGCATCAAAATATAAGTTAGTAAAACCTGAACTCAAAGTAACAAGTTCTGACCTCTTTCTTCATTACTTCATGGATAAGATGTAGTTTTAGAATGCTTAGTGTGGTCTAGTCATAAATGTTTTGATGCTTTGCTTGTTGGTTATGAGCATATTAAATGATCCATATGATACCAGAGTATTTGACACCTACCTTGAATATATAATTGCTGTAGAAAATTGTAGGTGACATTGAGCACTATTAGGCATTATGGCCTGTACTGGGTCTTACAGTAGAAATGTTAACAGCTTTCTGATGGAATATTTGACCCAAAAGTAGCTGCTGCAGCACAGTGCTGTACATCAACCCATAATTATAATGAAAGGGAAGATTTCCACTGCATTGATATGCTTACCATTTTATGGTCATTGACTATCATGAGCTCCAGATACTTCATTTCTTCAAAGACACCACGAGATATCTGAGGGATTAAAGAAATTCTTTGAGAAATCATGAAGATGTAGTGACTTTCAAAAATAACTGCAGCTGATTTAATAGGATTACCTATACATATTATGTAGAGTGCATAAACCTGTAAAAACTGGGTCAGACGTTCAACTAAGGTAAATAATCATAGCTCCAGTAACTTGGTGAGTTATAAGACACTGGCTGAGAATCTGAGTCACATCATTAAAAAGGTTTAGAGTCTATTCTTCTTGGCACAGAAGCCACCACTGCTTCCCTCCTCTCTTATTTCGTGTGAGAAAAATCTCAAAACAGTAAAACCTCTTAGCCTACTGTACTATTCATCACAGACTTAATGAGGAAGCTACAAAAAATAGATGCACCTTCAAAAAATATCCCGTGGATTGTGCAACTCAGTGAAGAAATACAGATAAATCTTTAACTCAGTTATTCCACTAACTGACACATATGCACGTGCAGATCACGAGGATCTGTCCACTTCTGTCCTCTCTACAACAAAGTTCTAAGTGTTCTCATTTGGATTTTTAATTTAATCATGCTCTTTAACAAGCCAAGTGAAAAATAAAGTCAGATATCTCCAAAGTAGCAAGACTTTATTCAAAATTATTCTTTATCCTCAGACTCAAAACTTCTGAATTCATTTTCCACTACTAGCTTTGAATCAATTTATGTATAGTATTGCTGTCACTCGAGACATTTTATCCACTTTTCTCCAAATAATCTATTTTTTAAGAATAATTTTCTTGTTTTAGCATTTATTATTGTCACATAATAGAATTATCAAGGTATCAAAAATACTTTTTTTTCTAAAGCCTATGTTCTCAACATTATTCTGAAAGTTAAGTGGTTTTGAGTTTATTTTTATAAATGGTCTTAACTCAGAGTCACACTTCTACTCACTGCTCTCTTTCTTCTCCTTCTCCTCAGCCACTGTAGTTCAGACAGAAAGGGCCACTCAGAACTAGATTCAGTCTCTGTACAAATTACAATTTAAGAATTTCATGGCATTATTTTAAACTAATTATGTGCACTGTACAAACCAAAAGTACATTAAAGATCACTAAAATTTGAAGAACCTTTGCTATTTAAAAGTTCATTTTTAAAAATACATAAAATATCTCATGTCAAAACTCAAGCCATTTAGAAACCTAAAGTTAGAATTAAAGACTGCAAGAGGAGATAAAGAGCTTCTAACCTGGGCATAGAATATGTTTTCTTCCATCTCATGCCTCAATAGCATTAATATCACTGATTAAATTAAATTATTTGTAGAAGAAAGCTAAATACAAGTCTTCATTGGTAGAAGTCTTTCAATTGCTTTTTAACAACTCTAAATTTCAATGCAATAATTGTGGAAAAAAGTCCATTCTTCTAAATCAGCCTTTTTATATATATTAAAATTTTTAAAATTCTATATACAATTACTTCCAATACTGAAGAACACATAGCATAAGGAAAACATACCAAGGTCCTGCAACTGCTTGGAGGCTTGTGTTCCATAAGTTCTTTGGATGATATGTGGCCTACTTTTGCTTTCCTGACAAGAAAAAACAGGTGACATTTTCTTCTAATCTATCATGTTAAGTGAAAAGTGAGGCACTACTTTCAATATTCATAATTTTTATTATTTTTCCATAAAATGCAAGAAACCATAGTACCAATTTGGCATAGTACTAATTTGAAGCAATCTGTTTGCAATCCTGAGCAAAACATGGAGCCTCTCTCCTTCAGCACATTTACTGGCCTACAAAACTGCAGTATCACAGATGTCTGTGAGATTACTTTTAAAAAGTCCTTTAAAAGCCTTAGTGTTAGAGAACACAGACCATTTGTTCCAACAAATCAAATTAGAGAGTATATGGCAAGGTGAAATCTTCCTTCCATAAATATTACTATTTACAACAAAACTATGTCTTTCTAATTGCAGCAAAATGCACAGAACTAATCAATAAGCTATTTTTAAAGGACTATTTCACCCTGTTTTAGTGGTGTATACGACAGTTAAAAAGGAAAAGACTTTTAATGCATATTTTCTTTAGAAGTATGACTTAGTCTTAGTGCCCCAAATTATCACATTTTGGTGTCTCCTCTAGAAAAGAACTTTCTCTCCCGTAACACCTCCTCTGCAGAGCCTGCCAAAACAAGCAGTCCTTTCCAAAGAGTAGGTAGGATGCTGCTGCTCTGGAACTGCTGTAAGAAACATGTAACACATTGAAGGAAAACACTGCCTATTTTTTACTGTTTTTTTCTTCCTTTTTTTTGGGGGGGGCAGTGGTGGGAAGAAAAAGAATGTATGCGTTTTCTACTACAGTTAAGACTAATCAAGCTGAACAAAGTACATGGTGAAGGCTGTGTCCAAGATATTTATCTCCTGTGGTACAATCAAAAAATGAGCCTCTGAAAGCTCTCTGTAGCTGTATTATTTTCATCTTCAGCAGTTTTGAGAAAAATAGTCATCTCATCTGTCTTATAATTTACAATTCGACTTGAGCCCTCAGAGTTGGCAGGTGGTGTCTCACTTTTACAACCAGAACTTCTGCTCTGCTTCCAACTTTACTGAAATACCACACAGAGATAGATATCCTGGTGTCCTTTGTTCACCCAAGCAACTAAACAGTCTAGTCAAATCTTCCTCTGCCTGCTAGATGGAAACCATACCAGCAATATAACCTCCATGAATTTTCTGTACCTGTGCTGTCAGTTTTCAGCCTTACAACCTTTATGAGTATGTCCCACATCAAGAGCTGGATTACAATATCTGATGTGAAGTACAAAAATGATCAGTAAACAAGATGTTTGTGTGAATGCAGTCCCACGTGGTGCTCCAGCACTGACAGACATTGGAATATGCTGGATCAGAATCATCTGAGCTATGCAGTGACCACTGACATAACAAATATAAAGTGTAAGATGCCCAGATATAATTATCTACTTCATTAAGCTTTTTGTGGAAACATGGGAGGTGAAGAGCAATCCAATCCAACTATTTAGGGAGGTACAAATAAATGACTTCCAGAAGCCCCTTATATGCATTTATAAATCCTTTAGTTCAGAGCAAACTGACAAACACTATTTTACATTCCATAACCATTTGCTATGGAAACAGTCTTTTAGTCTACTCTCAACATCTAAATTATCAACTGTAACTAGATTTCAGTATATTATCAACTAGTAACTAGGAAAAGAAGGATTAAAATAGAGAAAAATCCTAGGCATACTTATACATTTCTTGCCTTAAATAAATTTCAGTGAAGTGTTTTAAATACTTTGATTTCAGTAAATTATCAACTAGTAACTAGGAAAAGAAGGATTAAAATAGAGAAAAATCCTAGGCAATTCATACTTACACATTTCTTGCCTTAGATAAATTTCAGTGAAGTGTTTTAAAATACTTTTGGTTTTCATATGAATACATGATAGAGGTGACTGATTTATTGATTTATTCTAATACTTCTACTAGCTATTCCTAGAGCACTCCCTTTCCCAAACCAAATAAATCATTTATAAATAAACTTACTGCACTGTGGGTCAGATCCACTGGTTCTATCAAGTACAAGTAAGTACTATCTTCAAACATGCCACTAGAACATGGAGAAAAAGAAGTGGTATTTAGGATTATATGGCAGTTAATGTGACTCCAGGCTACAATTTTTCACTAAACAAAACCAAGCACAGCTGAAAAACCAATCAATATTACAATAAATTCCTTGTACATTCATGACTACTACATGTGGCTGAAGCTCAGGACTTTTTTAGAGATCAGGGCATTTTAATGAACTAACATTGATAATGGCAACATAAAGCAACAAAAAGAGTAAAGATTTGACCTAGGGAATAGGAAAATCCTAAGACACACGTTAGCATGCAAAATACAATCAATAGCAGAGTTGTATTTAACTGTAACTAATCCCAGTAAGGACCAATTTTTTACATTTCTCCATTGTACAATCTAACAAAAAGATCAATTTCTCTAGTATCTGACAGAATCAGATGAATAGTGACCATGCAAAGTGCTAAGGCTCAATTATTCTTTATCCTTTACCATAATGAGTCATCTGGTGAAATATTTATTTGCATTTACCATACTCAAAGGTTTCTTGAGACAGCATCAAAAGTCTTCAATCCAAATGATACTAAAACATTCCTAGCAGTCTGGCATAGCTAGTACTGGCATTTAAAAACATAAAAAATATTGTGGGCCTACAGAATTTCAGTCCCTCACATATTAAGAGATTATATTTAAGAATATTAATTAGTCAATAGCCTTGTTTGAAAAATGAGAACATGCACTTACTGAAGTCCATTACAAGTTGAAAGAGCAACTTTGGAATCCTTGATACCTCTGATATTTCCGTGGTAGTAACAATGCTCTCCACCCTAATGATGTTTAAAAAACAATCACACACACAGAAAATTTCCTTGATTTAATGTCTGTTGCTTAAAACCAAAACAAAAAGATCAAACACCTTTCATTAGGTTAAATTTCAGGAAAAGCAGTGATTGCTAAAGTAAATACCAATTACTAGTTTCAATTGCTTAAAATAGAAAAATTGTGCCAAGAGTAAAGACTAATTTATGTAAGTCTTCAAGCTATAACATGGTTTATATTCTTTTGTTGAAGTCACAGCATCCTTGATCTTCTAAGTGCATTTCTTTGCTGTAAATTGATTCTGTAAAAATGTTATGTAATGCAGGTTACACAGGCATTGGATTGTTTCTTGATGCCTTCCAGAGCTGTTAAAATTACAAGTGATATCATGTTCAGCAATCACCTGGCATATACTTGTTTTAGATCTAGATTCTATCAGTTTTGTCTCATTAAAAATGTATCAGTTAAAAAGTTACATCATTGGATTGTAGGTACCAATATCACTAATGATGAGTCAGAAAGTGCATCCAGTTTAGCAACACTAAAGTGTACAGTTGCATTTTTACTGTACAAAGAGATACTAAAAGTCAACTCTTTACTTCAGCAGCATGAAATTCCAAATAGATGCAAGCCCCAAATTGTTCAGACAAACAGAGCAGGAATTTTGTACTCTCTAAGGAAGTCAGCTGTCATGTTTTCAACAAGGTCCTGCCTTTTATTTGAAAAATAAAGTACCATTTAAATGAGCCACAAGTGTGTTTAAATCTTAGAGACTTTAAGAAGAAAAAAACAACAAACCATCACAAATTAGGCAAACTGCATCCAAAACTGCAGTCCCAAACTTCAGCTCTCCAAGGCCTTAATGGTATGAAGGGAGACCCTGCTGAATGCTGCAGTGCAAGATATGAACAGTCAGCTGACACAGGGAGTAGAATCAGTGAAAACTGTGCTCCCAAGGAGTCATGCAATAAAACTCTGTGCATAGTCTTCCACTTCTCCAGAAGAGTGTAAGGGAAGTTGTAACACATGAACATATGAGGAGGAACAGGTCCAAGAGAGACCAAAATACCACAGAGAAGAACTGGTATAGTGTTAAAATCTTAAAAGCTCTGATCCAGAAAAGCCCTGCTCAGATGCCAGCTAAACTCTAGTGAATGCTATGTGCTCTCCTCTGAATTCCAAGTGGAGGCTCCCTGGACCTGCCTGGCTCTCATCATAGAATGGAACTGGGGGATCCTTGTGGTCCCTTCCAACCCTGACAGATTCTGATCTGTTTTGGCAGAGGACTTTGGAGCCCTGGTGGCTCGGTGGTTGGACTTGATGATCTTGGAGGTCCCTTCCAACCTAAATGATTCTATGATTCTAAGTTGAGCTCTCCTCTGTGAAGCAACTAGCTCCTGTCTAAGCAATCCTTATAGGGCAGAGAACTTCAAGCATGCTCAGAACACACCTAAGAGAGAATGACAGGACAGATCCTCACAAAATAGAGTTGCAGTGGCTCTCCTTCCAAAACATTGACCATTATATGCCAATGTCCCTCTCTGGCTAATAACTACAGCATTCATCCCAGGCTTTGCAGGTCACCTTGAAACACATTACCTTGCACCTCCCCACCCTCTAGAAGTGTGAACTAAGATGAAAGATTCAGAAAATTGTTTTGTCAAAGCAACAGCTCTCTCACATACAATCATTATTAGTGTCAAAATAATTTCATTCAGATCTTCTTAAATCTCCAATTTTTTTTTTCCTTTCTGAAGGTTCATTATTTGTCATTTTTCTCTGTATGTTCTGGTTTTCTTCTATGTATTAAATTTGTGTTAAGTCCTCTAAATAATGGAAGCAGTTCTACTGCACTATCAAAGAATTTTATATTATTTGATTGTAAATAGCTAATTAAGTGTAAAAACCTAAAATCTTTAGCATATTTTTATACTTATATGCTCTATGCAAGCCACGTGGCAAATTATTAAATCCTTTCTCATTATTCTGATACAGAAATTAATTCTGCCCTCATTGCAGAATTACTAATTACTAAAATTCCATAAATCACTAAGGAATAAATTGATCAGACTGCTAGAGGCTTACAGAAACACTTATTGTGACTAAGGATAAAATAAATTACCTTCAAAGGAACATTTCAACTGAGTAAACAAGAAGAGTATATTTATTTTCTATCAACAAAGTATCAAGATCAACATTAACAGGCTGTTCAAGCTACCAGTGTTTAGGAAACCAAGAAACATTAACTTCACATTCTAAAAAAAAGGACTAGTGAATTTAGAAGCTGTTAAATACAGAAATTCTGCTGCTACATGTCAGTGAAGCTAAAATGAAAACTGAATTACACTTATTTACCACATTTAAGCAGTTGCTCTTTAGTGTCTATCAACAATAACCCAGCTAAATTAAAGACAAAAGGTATTCTCAGGAAGTTTTATTAAAAAAGCTTAAGTGTGGTCATCTCTCTCACACCTTCCTTGAAAAATGTACCACTCATCACCAAAATTTTCTTAATTCTGGAGCCATATGCCATCTGAATTCCAATAAGCATATCAGACCCATTCCTTCTGCAATTGTTATAACTCAATTAAGTACAAAAAAAATGCAAATGTTTTTTATTTAAGTATGCACAGCAGTATTTCCATTTTGCATCTTATTTAATGAGTTATTCAGATTCTGAACAAAATTCCTCAGTGTCTGTTGTGCATAATTGAAGTACTACATGGAAAGCAATCACTACGTATTTACCTTTCCATCAGTAAGAATGCATAAGCCATGATTTTTAACAGCTAAATCATGATTATCTCAGAGAAAGAGATTCTCAATATTTAAGTCATCTGAGTAAAGAAGTTGCTGTTTGTTTTTCAGTGTTTTCAGTCTTTTAATAAACTACTTCTTTTCCAGAAAACACAATACTCTTCATCAAAATCTCTCTTCTTTACACCCACATCAAGAAACAGAACATCTTCTACTTACTCAGGTCTACAAAGGATGATAAAATCCTGCAAAAGACCAAGATACAGTCCTTACATGATTTACACAAATGGTGTGTCTATCTTCTGAACTTACAATGAAGCCTTTTGCAGATTAATGTGACCTCAGGAGCTCTATCCCTGTTTCTAGATGAATCAATACAGAAAGCATCCCCTAGGAAGTTTGGATTAAGTTACTGCAGCATGTAAAGGTAGTCAGTCCCTCTGCTGAGTCTAAAGTTCTAATATAATTTTCCAGTCAGATTCATGATTCAGCAACCGCAGTGCTCAGTGCTAGTGCTGCAGCTGACAATTGCATGAGCTTGTCTAAGTGCCAGGGGGAGTTGTTTTCTTGCATCATTTAGCATTTTTGCCTATTCTGCAGAGTACAGTCTTAATGAAAAAACTTCCTTAGTATGTCACACAAGACTATTTTTATTCTCCAGTGGAAGAAGACAACACAGTATATTGCATTAATTATACTGTTTAACGTAATTGTTTCATTTTGCCCTGATCTGCAAAATATTGCTTTATTTAAGATCCTCTACAAAGGCCAAATAATAAACTAGGCACCTAATACTTGGACAAACAACAGTCCTGACTTGCTGAAGCCATGAATGCAACCTGAATGCTTGCTCTCCTCCCCTCTACATAGATACATTTCATGTGTAGAAAGATCACAACAAATACTTCAGCATTCATACCAAACATGAAAAAAGTAATTCCTTCAAAATCTAGCATATAACCTTCCTAGGAACCTGCCAGTTCTCAGTTTGTTATCAGAACAAACAAAAAGATTGATCTGGTTCCCTTAGTCAGAGCTGAACTTACCTTACATAACTTTAATCTCTTTGCTTTTGGATCAATAGCCTATGGCACTGAATTTAACTTGGGAGCTAGTCTGACAAATGTAATTAACTGCATGTCAAGCAATATGCTGGGTTTGTAATAACTGAAACCTCAACTTCTGGAGTTAAGGCTTTCATTTTCTGTTTCACAACTGCATAATTCTTGCAAAGAAAAATCACTGCAGGTTTTTTGTTTGTTTGAATGTCTTACATTACCATTATCCCTTCCTTTTGGACTTTGTGCTAAAGGTATGTAAATAATTAATGAATACTGTACTGCTGGTAGCTTCAACCCTTCCATCCCCTACATTTCATAAGACTTAACTCTTCTGGTGGGATCTTGATCATCTTCACTACCACCCACCACTGCCTACCCCTCACCCCAACACACACCTTCCCTTTTTTGTACAATTCTTCTGTTAACTGAGGTACCCTTATACAAGATGAGATCACAGTTACCTGGTATGTGTGGAAAAAGGCTGCTGGTGGGTTTAAGTCTTGTGATTTTTATTTTTTTTATTTTTTTTTCTTAGCATTTTATTGGGATTGGTCACAAGATGAGATCACAGTTACCTGGTATGTGTGGAAAAAGGCTGCTGGTGGGTTTAAGTCTTGTGATTTTTATTTTTTTTATTTGTTTTTTTTTAGCATTTTATTTGGATTGGTCTTTCAGAAAGATTATTCTGACATTTTAAGAGCACAATACCTTAGAAAATTTTGGTTTTCCATCTTCATAGTGAATCTCCACATAATTAGAAGATAACAAGTCACTGTCAAAGAAAAGAAAAGACAAGATAAGAAAAATCTGAATGTTCTTTCTACTGCTGTGAGTAGTTTGGGTTTCTTTTGTTAAAATTTTCAAAGCATTTTTTCTTTCCTTGTAAATTAGCTTTAAAAAAAATCAAGCAGTTTGTGTCCAGTAAATGGTTTGCTGGTGCACTGGAAGTCAGAGTGTGCTACAGAAGAAGGAATGTCATTCTGCAATCTTTTACCTTTACAATTAAATCATCAGCCTCTCAAATATGTAAAAATATATCCTATGGATTTAGAACTTTGCTGCCAGTAACTGACACTGACAAAATGCATGTTTAGTTCATTACTGTTTTCAAGTAAATGTTACACTTTATCTAAAAAGTTAAACAGAGTATATGTAAGGCTGAACAAAGACGTGTGTATACTTTACTTGTGCCTCACCTTCACAACTGCAAATACTCAAAAATTTTCCCAAACCAGTATCATTCTTAAAAAAACAAACACACAAATAAAACCCCAAGCATACTACTCCTTTTCTTCCTTTCAGCTTTACTTCTCAGTCTGTTATCAGTCTTATTTTTTTTCCTAACTCTAGCAAGACACATTCCTGAAGCATAAAAATTTCCCAATTTACAGTTTAAATGTCATGGTTGTTTTGTTTTAAATAAGATTAGCTAGCCTGTACATTTCCTGGAATAACTTCAATGCCTCATTCACCTCTCAGCCCATTATAACCAGGGTTGCAGCACAGCAGCCCAAGGAAAGCAGAGCAGTTAAGTGTTAACTAGCCCAATGATATATGCAGGCTAACCATTTTACTTAATGTGATGCAGAGTTCTCAGCATTTTTCAAGCCTCCAAGAGCCTGTATACCTCCTCCCCCCAAAAAAACCCAAAACATTAAAGGGTCTGATAGTGCCACATATATCCAAACAAAAATACTGTTGCTATGAATAAAAACCATCATGATTATGGAAGCCTCGTCTGAGAAAATAGATCTGATGGGAATTCACAACTAAGAACAACTTATGAAAATGGGTACCTCAAACTCAAATTAGGCTATTAGAAATCCTGATAACACTTTAACTCTATGACTACTGTCTCAAAATCAATTCTTCATGCCACATTGATCAGGCACTTCACTTATCAGAGAAGAACCTGCAGAAGTCAGTTACTGTCAGTGCTCCTAAAAGTTCTTTTTCATGGAATTGAGAGCCCACATTATGGGCATTCTGTGTCTGCAAAACCAACACTAATAGTCATGAATAATTACTGATGTCTTATCATTTGTCTTAACCTTCAGTCTTATAGCAATATTTAATAGGTATATTGACATTTTTAAAGCACAGACTTAAAAATAAATTCAGTTGCATAAAACCATTTTAACTTTCTCTATTTGTATCACAGTAAGCTATAAATTTCCTCCAAGAGAATAACATTGCTTTATAAATAGCATAAGTGCTTGACTACAATGCAAACTTTCAGTTCTTCCATAGAGCAAGGTCTGAAGCCTCTAAAAAGGATTACATATAGAAAGCAGCTAAACTCTGGAGTGTTGATAATGTCCTTTTCTTTGCATTTTTCTTACTATGATGTGTAAGGACTGCTGGCCTCAGTACTTAATGTGATGGTATAGACAAGGCTAGAGGTAATGGACAAACAGGAAAATGGAAAATTCTGATTAGATAACTAAAAAAAATAAATCACTGAGGATGGTTAAACACAGGAACTATGCACAACCTCAGAGGGCCTTGACCAGATTCAGTTTTACAGACACTTCCACTTGAATTCACAGAGACCATTTGGTTCCCTCAAATGAATTCCAGGATCAGCATTTATCCATCCACTTTCATATCAAGCTCACTCTCATATGTCCTTCTTTGCTCTCTTCTAGTAACCTTACACAACTGATCTCAGAACTGCTTTCAGTGTTATCTAGTGATTTTGGCATCTTGTAAGACTTACAGTAGGTGATTTCCCAGTATCTGCCTCACAACTAACTGTAGTTTAGTTACAGAATTTGTCTCTTAGATTCATCTCCTTTCATGTGACACAAGAGATGCTCAAAATTTCTTTAGTTTACCCTTTGTAAAATCTGCCCAGAATTCAGTGCTGTTTTCTTATATTTTCACTGAACTTTTTTTAATCCAGTTGTTTCCTTCATCCACCAACTGCAAAGAGATTCCTGATTCAGGTAGTAAATAGAGTGTATTTACAGTAGTAAATACAGAACAGGCTATCTAACATGGCATGCTTATGATGGAATACTCCCTATATATATATATATATGCTACAAGTATAAAGCAAGAATGCAGCAGCAGAGGGGAGAACAGGAGGGAGACATTACATTTGTAAGCATTTTCCAACAGGATCTGTTAGGGTACATGCAACCAGTTGCTTCTACAACCAAGTCAATCTCAGTCCTTATTTTCAGGACAAACACATCCCTAACTTATAAATGCTTAGTATTGAACTGTGATATTGCAAAGAGTAATCTAGGAGTGAAGACTTCAGAAAAAACATTCCATTGCTGCTGCAAAGAAAAAGAATCTGGGTGAATGAGTTTGTTCTATATTTTGCTAAAGCTCCAGGAGTGACAACAGCTGTAAAAACAAGTGTAAAACTGCTACAGCTAATTTTCCTTACCAAAGCCCTTACCTGTTATTAATGCTGACAAATCTGACAAGAGAATGGAGAAATTATTTAAAGGGGAAAAATAAATAGAAAAAAGGGCACCTAATGAAAATAAGTCTCATTTTTTTCCAGCATGAAAGACTGATACAGAGAAGACCACTGTAGTTTCACTAGTGGGTGTGATGGGATCCTTGATACAAGTGCTATCAAAAGGCATGGAATAAACTGGTGAAAACCTCATGTACAAGGGCAAGTGCCTAAGGAATGAGACACAGAACTATCCATAGAGTGGGGAGTCTCCACATAACAAAATAACTATTCTTCCTTCATTATCATTTACAGGATACCTAAATTTACCTCTGAAAAGCAGTCCTGATTTTAGAAAATACATTTCTGCTTCATCTACACTGAACTGTGTACTGACACCTTTCAGCTGATCCACTTATATTTTGTTTCAGTAGAAATGCAGCCAGTACAGCAGATTTGTTTGTCAATATTGTGAGCACCAGAAACAGCACAAGCTTTAAGTGGAACAACTGCCTAAGTCATGATCACATCAGACAAAAGCATATTTAGGCTAGTGACACATCAGTGTGATGCAGTAATAAAATGAACAGCATCAAATTCCAACATGCTGACTGAACTCATAAATAAAAAATAATTTAGTCTGCCATGTCCTTTTCTATAGTTCTCCCACCTTGCCTTGTTTGTCTTAGGTAATTGTTTTTATTAAGCTGTCCTGCATCTCCAGCTCTTCTATCTGAGTTACATGGAGAGATGGAAAAGCAGCAGCAAAGGGATATGTCATTCCTGGTAGCTGCTGCCTTTGAAGACACAGGCCAGCTGCTAAAGCAAGCAGATGCTTTCTGAGAACTCACATCCACCTTCCCAGCACATATTTCACTGCTGCTGTTCTCATTAGGAGTGCTGCCGTGTGAAGAGTGGCTTACTTCAGCTGGCATCTAACTATCCTGATGAAAAGAACTGATTTGGGTAGGTCAAGGCTATGAAATTATATAGAATAAAATGACAAAGATCTAACACACAAGTGATCCAAGTTAGATTTCAAGAACTGAGTACACAGCCTGCAGAAAATCAGACTACAGCTGAATTGTCTTTCTTGCATACTTCTTATTTTTATACTAACCTGGTACCAAGCAAAAATTTATTATTTTAAATGTTCTGAAATGACTCAAGCTCAGTAACAGTGTCCAAGAAACCTAGTTCTGTTGAATTACTTAACAGAACATCCACCTGATGCTTTTGTCCATTTGACAGACAGAGTTTAGTAGCACACAAAGACAAGAAAAACAAATTGAGACCCTGCTATGGCATTTTGTCAGAACATCAAAACACTATCACCTAATGAAATGGCCATCTATAGAATTGTTTCTACTACTTGTTTCAATTACATCCACACAATTTGTTGAATCAATTGTTCTTATAAGAATTTATTATTAAGTTTCTAGTATATATTTACAGTAGTCTTTACTTGGCTATTGTCTTTGAAGCTGCTCTGACAAGTGACTCCAAAGAATAAATTTTTTAAAGCACAGCAAGGTTTCACTACTTTTTCTTACATTATCTTGAAGGAGCTTAAAAGTCAAAATATGATACTGTGGATCAAGCATCTATGTTTACAGGCAATTGAAAGAAACAACTGATGATACAAGTATATAAGTTAAATTTTTCATAACTGTGGAATACCATAATGATCCTGTAACAGTAAACAGTACACTTAACTAAAAATCACTTCTTGCACTGTCTTTCTCTGGTTTGGTTTGGTTTTGTTTGGCTTGTCTTTCAGGTAGACAAACAGAGGACCTGACAACAAATTTACTAAACTGAAATTACCCAGATGATACTTTAGTATTTTGTTGTTTGAGTAGTGGTTGGTGGTGGTTGTTTTTTGGTTGGTTGGTTGGGGGTTTTTTTTTGGTGGTTGTTTTTTGTATTGTTTTTTAATAAGACCTCAAATTTGGAAAGATGTCAGAAAAAGACTGACAGGAAAACATCATCCAAAGACATAAAGAACAGTGCACAAAATGCTCCAGGTTTGTTTCTGGTCAGTGCAAAAAGCTCTGAGTCAGTTCAAGGGAGCTCACACAACAAATTCTTCCTGATCCTTTCTCTAGCTGTGTCCCAAAGCCCACCAGCTGAGAATGGAGCATGCTGTATTTTAATGGCTACCCCAGCAAGTATTTTGAAAGAAGGAGCTTGAAGAGTTTTCCAGAGTATTAAGAACAGTATATTGCTCAGTTTCTACCACATTTTCCTTTACTGTAGCACTGAAGATATTACTTCAGGAGATGCTACATTAAGAAGCAGTGAATGGCTAGACAACAGTACAGAAGACAGTATGACTACTGTGTCATGAAAAGTAT